CCCCAAACCCCACACCCTAAACCCCTAAACCCCAAACCCCCAAACCCTAAATCCTAAACCCTATGGAGGAACTCGTCGGCCTTGACAGCTTCCTCGCGCTGGCCTCGTAGCCGTGCCTGCGCTCCGGAACAAGGAAAAGTCCCAGACCCTTCCCCGAGAAGGAATTACATTGGAGGGTCCAGGATTGAGATCAGAGTTTCGAGAACTGTTGAGCTTAAAATCAAACTTGCAGGCTCTCCTCTGTGATGCTGGAAGCTTACAGCCCTAAACCCAACCCTTGAGGCTATATAAGGTTGGCAAGTCTAGGCCTACGGGAGTACGCAAGGCATATGTGCTGCATGCCCTACGCAATGGACCAATTCTGAATCTGGCTGCTGGTCTCTTGGTTTAGGGCTTAGGGTTTAGGATTATTTGTTCCCTATAATGTGAGCTATAGTCTGAACTCGTAGCATCCCTCTTAATAACACCTAATAATAATCCACTATATAATCCGGTATATACCCCCCTTTAAGGAGCTTACACTATAGTTCATACAAAGGGTTGAGGGTTTCAGGCTATACTATGAGAAGGATGCCTAACAACCCCCGATGAAACAAAAATGCCCATTTGAAGCGGACCTTCGCCTATGTCAGGCAATCCTCCGTTGTTCCATAAACCCTTAACCCTAAACCCTATAAAGGGTTACTTGCAAGCAGGAGCTCCGACACGACAATCACACAGGCACTTGCATTCCAAACCAAAGCTGCAGAATCCCTTTACCCTAAAACCTAAACCGTATATAACTCAACATATAAACCCCCATGTGGATCCAGCAGCGTGTACCCAAACAATCCAACTTTGCTTGCTGCGGACTTCTGCTTGCCACATAATTTCATGCTCAAGATTTCAGGGTTTGGGCTTTCCGGTCTGCATCATGCAGTGGCATAGAGAAGGTCCCAAAAAAAACAAGTGCCCACATATCTTCCATGGCTCAATTTCTATCTAGCCAAACCCTTAACCCAAAATCACCTCTTCGGCAGAAGCATCCTCGTTCAAGCCTTGATCCATGAGTTTCTCGGCCTCCTGCCATGTGTTCTGTTCGGACAAGACTGGGAAGAGCTCATGTTGATCCCAATTCTGGTAGCACACCATGATCCAGCACCGCATGGAGCTCTGGGGTTTTAATACGGCGAAAGTTTGGTGTTGGGGTAACCCCCTTAAGGAGTTCAGACCAAAGACCATATAGCCCCCGCATCATAAGCATCCTCAGCGTAGACTTCAGGGTTCAAGCTAATGATAACCCACGTATACAGGCTTATTTGAGGACAATATAGGGCTTGTATAGCGGCATACAGGCTCTAGAGGCTCTAGAGCAGTAACAACAGGCTATATAATTGGGTCATAATGATATATAATTTGGTCATAATGACCCTGAACCTCCAAATAGGGGCTGAACCAGGGTCACCCAGCTCTATGCAAGAAGCTCTACACCACCGGAGCAGGTCCAACAAATTGGATTCCCAGAGCGATACAGCCCTGAACCCTAAACCTTATGCAGAGTTTTTTTGGGATTTAGATCCCCCTTGCTTGTAGGTGCTAGGGTTACATGGCCACTTAAATGGCTTCATGTGGCACTGAAATGGGTTCATGTGGGGTCTGAAATGGGTCCATGTGACTGTTGTAGGATACTTCAAAAATGCACCCCATTTCAGTGGCGGACCTTTGCGAGCCGACCGTCGGACCTGTGACTTTCCTAGGCTTTGCC